ATAAAAAGAAAAAAAAAAAAAAGAAAAGGAAAAAGAAAAAAAAACAAATCAATTCGTATCAATTTTATGAGGAAAAAGAAAGAAAAAAAGGAAAACATACCAGCGATAACTTAACATTTTCAACTATGTCATAGTCAGAAAGTACAAACCTTATTAAATTAACCCCGCCATCATAGTAACCATATATGCTTCGGGCTTGCACTCACGACTTGACCAACTTGCAGAGGACCCAAGGTGAAGAGTAATAGACGGAAGGTTAGGGATACGTGGGGTAGAGACACCGAGGTGTAATGCGGTGTACGCTTGAGTCTATAATAATGTTATGCAGCTAACTAACTTCGTCGATCTAGTTCCCCGGTATACTCTACTTCCAATCTTACACGTTCTGAATCTACGTGCCGGTTATTACGCTTACCCACATTTAATCTAGAGAGAGAGAGAGAGAGAGAGAGAGAGAAAGAGAGGAAGGGAGATGGAAAATTCGAGCGATTTATCAAATGAAATAAACTTCAATGTCGTTCGCTATCCAAATTAATCATTTACATTTTACATCTCTCTCTCTCTCTCTCTCTCTCTCTCTCTCTATCCTATACCTTACAATCTTGTTAAAACATTCCTTACCTCAGAAAACTTGCTTTTCATTTAATTCATATGTATGTGTACGATTACAATATAATTAAATGATAAAACAATAAAAGGATCAAAGCGTATACACTTTCGTCTCATTTGTTTCCTAATTAAGAATCGATTTTTATATCTCTTTCTGAAGCCATTAATCTACTTGGTCATATAAAATTCGTTAAATTTTTCTTGAAATTAAATATTTTATAATATATGAAATGAATATCAAGTAAATATCTTTGATATAACAAACAAACTGAATTAATGAGTAATAAATAAATTGTTAAATCTTCATTATTTTGAAATTAATCAATTAATTATTTAATATCATGAAAACTTGAATAGATATCAAAATAAACATCATATTTTATATTTACCTTTATATTGTACGTAACATACATACTTAACAAATATTCTAACTTCTACAAATTTACGAATAATAGTACCGCAAAATCCATGATCATCGGAACTTCTTGCCAAGCAACGTTGGTACGAAAAGCAAAATGAAATTGGAATGCAGAGCGCAGCAATACAGGAGGATTAATTATTCGTATATGAGGTCGATAGATTATATTTTACGCGTACGAGCTAAATTGGAAACATCTGAAACTGACTGGGACTAAACTTTCTCGTCTAAAAGCTAAACAAGTTCTCTCTCTCTCACTCTCTCTCTCTCTCTCACTCTCTCTTGATCACTCTCACTTGCAGGTAATGAGAGAGAGAGAGAGAGAGAGCTTCAATAAACGGAAGACATTACCTTATGGTGTAGAATCCCCTACATGCACATGTACGTGTGTGTTTGTACATCGACACCACGTTAATAGAAATGAGGCTTATGCATATACGACAGCATGCGCGTCTGCGCGCCTGCGCGCCTGCTCGCACGCGTAACCGCGGTAAGGTACGTGATAGAGGCTTCTCGGATGCAATCAAACCATAATAGAATGTCCATGGTAAATAATAGCGTTCCTCCTTTCATGGTTCATCGCTGATATCTATACACTGTGAATATCGTTGGCGTGCCTCATTCAAGCGTTCTTTAACTTTTCTTCAACATTAATAACATTTTTTCGTATCTTTCCTTCTCTCTCTCTCTCTCTCTCTCTCTCTCTCTCTCTATCTCTCTCTCTTTTTATTCGAATATATTAACAAATGTATGTGTGCGTATATATATTATCAACTATTTTCGAATTTATTCGGTCTATATACTATAGAATGTTTTATTTAAGGTTTCAAGGCTGCTACTATCTCAAAAAAATAAGAACAAAGAAAGAAAAGAAAAAAGAAAAAAGAAAAAAGAAACTGAAAGTTCTCAATTATCTCAGTGGGAAAGCCAATTATGTTTGTTATAGGAACAACGTTTTATTACATCTAATAGATATTACCGAACGGATTATGAATTTATAAGTCCGTTTAAAACGTTAATACGATCTTCGTATATAATCCAAATCGAATTCTTATCTGTTCAAATCACCAATTAAACTTGTTCGAACGATTATTAGAAAGGCATAGAAATAGCAATAAACCTACATAACAGGTTATAAAATACAATAATAAAAAAAAGTCCAACGTTACGAATATGTTACAAAATTCTTCCAATGATAATCCTGTCAATTTACTCCTATTCATCGAAATTACAAACTTTAACGCGAATATCAATGAACGAAATTGACGTCGTATGAAAATTTAAAAAAAAATTGCAAGATATCGGATCAACTCGATTGTCGGTCGACTTGTAACGATCGAGTGCAAATTTCGATTCGAGAACAACGGGAAAATAAAAAAGAAAAAAAACGAAAAAAAAAGAGAGAAAAGATAAAAGAAAAAAGGAAAGAGAAGAAATAAAAAAGAAAAAAAAAAAAAAAAAAGAAAAGAAAAA